TTTTCTACTTCCTTCTCCCTAGAAACTACTTCGTCTTCTATGCTACATCTAGTCTCTACATAGTTGTCCCTTACAGAACAGCTGTCTTTGGGGTTAAGTAAAACATTATCAAGAGCAAGATTTAAAGAAATAGGTGAATTCACCTTAGAAACTGAAGGAATAATATTTTCAGCATTATAATTGTCTGTGTCTTCGGAACTGTCATCGTTGTACTTCATCCTTCTCGTTTTCGTCATCGTTAGTTTGAATGAACCAGACTCGATTCCAACCAAATTAGTTACAGCAAGTATCTTCAACAACTAGGACCAAAGTTCAGAACTGTATCCACACCAATAAGACCAAAGTTGAGAACTGTTAAGTCTATTGAAGCGTCCAAATGACCCGATTGAGATACGCGCAAAATCGAAGTTCCAAAACAACGATTTGTCTACAAAAGCGGTTCTGTTATTATATAAAATACAAAATTTAATTACAAACCTCAACTTGTGAGGTGTCTATGCGTTTACCGCGTCGTTCAAGAATGAAATAGTAAAGGCTTCGATAGTACAAAGACAGCCGATGGCTGTGTCGAAATTGGACAATAGTTTATGAACAATCGAAACTCGAACCAAGAGCAAACAATATGAAAACTGTTGCGTTTAAACAAATCCACAACTGTGGATAACCGTTACAGTAATTAAAGTACCGTGATTACAATGACAAATACAATGATAAGTGCAATAAACATTATAAATATATGGGAACGTTTCCGAATGTTACAGTACAACTTGCGTTACAATGTAAATGTGAAAATTGTTAAGGATACAACTGCTTACTGAATATAAATACGTAGTATAAAACAATAAACAAAGAAGTGGAAGGAGAGAGAATAGGAACAATGTAAGGCAAACTTAACACCCTTTATAGTCTGTTTGTTTTTTTCATCATCCGATACCTGCCACACAGTTCTCATTTAAAAGTCCGAGTCAGCATGTTATAGGTCGTCTTAGCTAATACAGCATAAAAATTAGAAACGTGAGTCTAAATGGTGAGCGTGGGAAAACAACCTTAATATCAAGGATTGATTGACTTGTTCTTATCCATAAAGAGCCTGATACAAACAAAATGTTCTGCCTCACAAACACGGGTGGATTGAAGTCATCTTTTCTTCCGAAATAGGAAATTTACGAAGATACTCTAAAGAAGTACACAAACCCACAACAAATTAATTGGCATCTGACTATCGGCTTTTCCGTCGAATCACCAATTGATGGAATCCATTACCTCAACACTTTATTGCGGCTCCACCTGCCGACTCTTTCAAAAGAAAATCGGATTTGCTGGGAGAACACCATTTTCAAAGCTAACACAGGCCATCTATCCTCCTGTCCTTTCCAAACACTGATAACAGACTAAGATGGTAGATAAGTTTATTCTCAACCTAAACAGCTTGTTCTATCACATATCTTTTTCAAACAAACTGAAATTGGCTTCTAAGTTTATAAGTCCTTACATCTAAACCAGCAGTATTTTCGATGCCTCAAAGCTTCTGGCTAACCAATAAATCGAGAGCTTTGTACCATCGTCTACACCTCATATTAAGGTTAGTCTGAACTATAAGTTGCAGGTCATATCTGAAATGCAGTGGGCTGGTAAACCATAAACTATACAATTGTACCACATCACTACAATCTTTGGATAAGTATGGTGCAATTGTCAGAAAATCACTTTTCAGCACCACACAAGGTCATGGTCTTCAAAGTTTAGGACAGCGAATGTTGTTGGCCCCCTTTCCATCAACTTCCTCACCTCGTGACAGTGAAGTTTTTTAAAATTTCACCCCATGACGGCAAAACTAATGGTCGCAGTAAATTACAAAACTGGTATCTTGGATCATGAGGTAACCTTGGCTAGTTTCAGACCAACTTTCTAGCATTTCTGATCACATAATTCGTTCTTGTCTCAGCAATAACTTCAAACCACTGAGTATTAAGTAGGCACGGAATAACTGAATAAAGTCCTGCTTAAATAACTGGCTCTTAGTGTCAATGTAGTTTGAAACGTTTTTCAGGCTTCTGAGTGTTGTGGTGAGAACTTTCCTGTTGTCGTTTTCTGTGAAGTACTTTCTTTGGAAGATATCTTCCGAAACGCTCAATTTTGCTGATAACTGGTAGTGGGCATCGAGTCGCCGTTGACTATGACCCCCACTGCAGAAAAATTACGTTCCAATCGCCAGGTAAGACCCCTCTGAAGGCCAAATATCAGAAGGTTGTGGTAGGATGTATTTGTTGGCGATCTTGTGGTATCGAAACAATGCGGACATCGTGCCGAAATCGACAAGGGCGACTACTGAGCTTACGTGAGTGCAAAGTCACAAAGAACGGAAGAGTGTGTTTTTTGTACACTTTACAAACAGGTACAGTGAAACAATCCCTGGTACAGTTGGTTATAATAATAATTGTTCCCGTAATGCCAATCGCGTTCTCTTCATAAAAGTAGGTCACAACAAACTTAAAACCTTGGAGAAAATTTTACGGCAGGCATAATGTATTGGCACATCAAGGGAATCTAGACATACCATAAAAACTAGACAGGTAACAACAGACTCGCATTGACTTTGCATAATGAACTTATCCCACCTTTTGAGCAGATAGATCAATCTCACCTTTTTGGTGATTCTGGAGAAAATGCATTAGTTCTAACCGATTCGCTTCCAACCTTGAATGTTCTCAGACGTGTATGCTCATAGTAGAGAATATAGGTTTATGTGCTTTTAACTTTTCTAGTGTGATCAATTTTCTTCTAAAAGACGATCTGCACTCAGATACTGTGAATAAACCGGCAAATGCAGCTTCCTGTATTAATACCTATCTGTTATCTGTGAAAACAACTGTACGAAATATGAACCTAAGGAAAATAGCCATTTTTCGACGTTCTATTTTCTGTTATTATTGAATAGAACAGTTGATAGAATATTTACGCATTCAATGAGATTTCAGTCGTTATCACCAATAAAGTTAACACTTAACTTCAGACGGATAATCGAATTTGAAAAAGGAAAGCAGTCCATACGAGGTGTGACGTAAACTACATCTAAATCCGAGATGATTTTTCCATGGAAACAGCTATTGATTCTCAACGATCTAAGATCATCATCCGACGGTGACGAAAACGCCTTAGAAGTCAATATTGCACTAGCAGTTCTTTAACTCATATAAGTCAGCTTGTTCTCGAGATATTTTACCCAATTTTAACAATATTCATTCACACGATTTGGTACACAGAAACAGTGTTTCTTCGTTCTTTTTGAATAAGGTGAAAATAATCTCGAGCACATTGAAAGAGGATTCATGAAACCGGTCACGGTTTCCAGTGCGTTTTCAACACTAGGATTTATCTGTTATTATAAAGGCAGCTCGAATGAGACTTTGAACGGTACATAAAATTATCAAGACCTAATGACGTTCAACCTGAAGATGAACCTTCAGCTGAATGGAAAGTCTGATATTGAAGATGCTTTCACCAGCCAAGGAATTAGTTGTCTGTATGAAATAATAAAGCCATAATTCAAGTACTAAGAGCGTCTATGTACGAGACCGAAGGTTCCAAGTTCGAATCTTGTGTGCATGAACGCAGATGAGCACTGCCAAAGAGTACCATACCATGACGAAACGGCTGACTGGTGCTCCCAAGTCTTCAATAGAGATCTAAAATTAACCGATCCATGATAATCCAAAACTTAGCAAACTCCACAACCCCTTACCGATAATAATAAATAAGTTAATTATTTGGTAATGTGCATGAAGACGAAATTAAAGGAATGGGAAGGGAGACAAAATAGATAACAAGAGAGTCGGGTAGTGGTTAATTATATGGGGCTTTGATAACAGCAGGTTAATCATCAGACGTCCATCAGGTACGACTGATCTAACAGGGAGATAGGAATCCATGAGTTATTACGTGTTCGTCAAGTCTCATTTCGAAGCTACTCAATTTGAGGGGCCTGTGGTAACTTGGGCTGAGAGCGCATATCAAACGGCGACGACTCTTAATGAGAAAGAGCGAAAGCTTACTTGGATGTTTGTTTTTTGATGTGCAATTTCCAAGAGTTGCCTCCAGGAGCATGGTGGCGATGTTCAAGCGGAATACTCGTGTTGGGGTGACTTAACGTAACAAAAAGGTTGTATGCCATTATCAGATCACTACTTGATTTCCCATAGCTCAGCGAGAGTAGTCCCAGGTTCAAGAGTCTGTCTTCGTAAGGTCTGTGTTCTAGGACTATCACTCATTTAGTTGCTCGTCTCTGTACGTGGTCCAAGAGATTCTTGTCTTCTTCGAAGCCAAAGGGAGCAATTAAAATGTAAACCCCAAGGTGCGGCCGTCCACAAATACTGTAAAGAGTCGTGAACGATTCTGTGATGATTGCTTCAAATTGTCTTTGCATAAATTGACAGGTCGCGTTTTACTTGACTGCATCCCTCATTCAGTCTGAGCTGGTTTCCAACCTCTCAGTTACTACCACGCCAAGATTAGGTACTCAAGAGGCGATAAAGAGCGTATGTTAATGTGGGACCTGAGTTGCTAGAGTCAAATAGGGACGAAGATACCACAGGTATTGTGGTTTGAAAACACTTTACCAGTAACACTTATAATTGAATCGCGTTCACCCAGTAATATCAAAAGTCAGAAGCGAGAAGGTTGGAAGACATATTTGATAAATTATCAATATACTGAGGATTGACTAATCTTAACTGGCTAATGATCGCAGGAGACGCTGAACACACCGTTCCGATTCGTGATCTGGTGCGGACGCATGACCAAGCGCCTTCAGCTAAGTGAGTCCACTAAAACCAATGTAGTCAGCATCCAATGTTAAGCACTTACAGAGCTATTGATTTTGGGGGTTTATTTACCGCTACAGGGAGAACGTTCATGCCATGAAATTTCCGCAGGTTACGTTTAGACCCACTGTCTGCTTTCTGACAATACTTGTTGATAAAACAATACCTCAAACTGTAAATATAACTTATGCGATTCATGTTTAAATATCGTAGTCTCTTCCTGGTGATGCACTTTCACTACGCCCAAATGTTTTTATTATTCCAAAAACTTTGAAAACCATTTGGCCTAAAAGAAGTAGTAATTCAAATACATCAAATGACCAAACGTGTTTCCGTTCTCGGTTGTGGTTCTTGGGGTACTGCTATAGTCAAAGCTGTTGCTGACAATGTTGTATCGTCAGACGAGTTCTATTCTAAAGTTACTTGTTTTGAATATGGTTTTTACCTCACAAACGTTTAGGTTTATTGGTATGTACGAGATGAAGAATATGAGGACCGAAGTTTAACCGCTTGGATTAATCAAGATCACACGAATCCCATTTATTTACCGAAGTTAAAATTGCCCATAAACATCGTCGCATCTTCTGAAATCCGAAAAGTTGTTGAAAATGCTGATATTCTCATGGTCGCCTATCCTCCGTGTTACATTATACGGTTGGTAAACCATGTCAAAGAATTTATCAAGGAGAACGCCTATTTTGTTTCATTTTGTAAAGCAAGTTTACAAAAATCCATTCACCGCTTTTAATCACATTTGGTCCCATATTTTTATATATCCCCAGATTTGTATAGTACATGCTCTTATGTAGTTTGTGCGTACCAAATTCTATAATATCAGACTTTATTTGATTATTTTAGACACTTAATATTGTAAAATTTCACTGAATAATAAGATTCTAAGCTAGAATCGCTTAGGGGTTTATAAGGTTTGGTTTGAGGATCAGGTCAAACCAATTACTTCTGTTAATTTTCTAATGCAGTCGCATACTACTATGTTATTATCACCCTAATTCGGATCTCATAATATTTAAGGAATAATATCACTGATCAAAAGGAAGGGACAATTATCATGGCTAAAAAATCAGTAGTCTAAGTTCATCCGATTCAGGTACGTAGTTGTTTCGTATAACTTTGCGTTATTAAACTACTAGGTTACGATATGATAAAAAGTGTTATATTTTAGCCACATTGTAGTAGAAGGATGTATAATTACCAGAAATAAGAGGAAGTATACGTTGGATTGTGTTGTCTCAACTATTGTTGTATGAAATATTATGTGAATTTATATAGCCAATAGACTTAAAGCGATGAGATTACCGGTAAGAGATAAAATATTTCGTATATATGTAAAAACATTCAAAGACCGAAGTTCATAACTAATCATACAAGTGGATGTAACATAACTCATTGGGTGAACATGACTTATACACTTGTCATTTTATTATTCAGCTTTGTTGCGAGTTCAAACAATAACAGGCCTGATAAAATAGGTACTATTTGAATTTGCAGTGTATGAGATTGATATCATGCAACAAGAAATGAGATCGCGAAAACATATTTGGTTATAACAACGGTCTTTTGTTTATTATTTGCTTTATTAAAGTTTACTACTACTACTACTTTTATTTCTGTTACTGTAAATTAAAATTAATTTGTTCATAGACCTTTTTGGAGTCGGAACTTAGCCATCGGTTTCGAGTGTTTCGTTAAGTTTTACCACATGTTAACATTTGAATTTAGTATAACGCTTAATATTTCCCTTTAATACGGTGTTTCTACGGTGAAGTCAGATCGAAATTGGGAAAAAAATCAAAAGTAAACATAAGATGCTTATCTTTTATCTAGTCTTACATAGACGATGTCATTTGAATATTTTACGGTCAATTATGCCACTAACTAGAAATATTTTTAAAATATAAGTCTGGAAAATACTTAACGTTACTGTTTAATATTCTATGAAGGTAAGTTGTTCTATTTATTATTTTACGATTCAGCCTTCATGATAATTAACAGTCGTTGCTATACCTATTTAATCAGGCATCGCATAGACACAAATATTAGCACAAAGTAATAATGTTAAGTATTAAGCATAAATTCTTACATAGTTATTTCTTATGAACTCAGAAAGTTCCCAAGTATGTGAAGTATTTGATCGCATAAATTTCTGATCTTTAACAAGGAATTAAACAAAAGATTATAGGAACAAAACAGTTCAGTTTCAATAAAAAACAGTGAACACATGAAAGCATATGAAATTGACAGTTGGCCAACTGAGTTCACATTCTACAGATTTTCCTCGAGGTAACTGAATTTTATTCTTCTTAGAAAAATTATCATGCACATATTTGATGAAAAATATATGCAATATGATTTCTTATAACATTATATCAAACATTAGCTTATAAACGCTTCAGTAATAGAAATTGTTTGTCCAATTATTAAGGTCATTGAATCATATTAATAATTGGCAACCATCTTATTCACTATATAAATATTCAAATAGACAACATCATTTACTACTATTCTCAAATAGAATCCTCGTAGTACTATCAATAAACAGTCGAGACAACTCAGCCCAACTTTATTCTTCTCATCAAACTATCTGGCCGTTTCCACAAAACAATGCTTATTCATTATCCTAAGACTTTTGTTTAAGTAGCAAATAAAGAGTTTCAGCACATTTGGGGTGCGGCCAACAGTGGAATTAAGAGGGCATACTTCGTCCTTTTTGGGGCTCTCCAAATTGGCGTATCTGATTCTTAGTGTTGATGTTCTATTAAGAATTGGACACAGTGTCTTTTGCTCAAAATGACGAGTTATCCACTAAGCTACTGAATGCAGAACTTCAGAGTTAAGAACTTTTCGCTTAAAATATGTGGTATCAGAAAACAAACAGTCAAGATATTTTAAAAAACAAATATTTTAGGAGAGGAATATAAACACTATCGATGGGTGAATTTCTTAGTAAACATTCATTCTTGAGTAACGATATTTTTTAAATTATATTTTGGATTCGAATTAATGTATATACTTTACCAAGTCTATGGAATAAAACAAAATCACAAGATTACGTGTTGTGAGATTTTGTTGGTGTGAATGCAATTTTTTAGGAGTTTATTCCTTTCAAAATTCAATCATAAATAAAGCCAGTAATTAGTATCGGCAGAAGAATTACTACTTATCAGTTTTACCTATTTGATCTAATTTTTAAAGTGAAACGTTTATTATCGATAAAAGTTCACTATCTTATCTACTATTAAGAAAATGTAACATAGCAACCTAAAAATACAGCCACTGGTGTCGCAACTTATTGACTCAGCAAAAGTACAATCTTGGATTTATATAAATTTTGCTTTCATCATAATTTAACGTTGATTATCTTATAAACTATTTGTTGTTAGTTAATCCGAGTTTTGACCAGTTGAAAATAGCATTTTTTTCTAGAGATGAATTCAAGTGATGAACCTACGAAGAAGTAATAATGATTATAAACATGCTTATCGAGAAAAACTACATTTTCTCAAGGCCGACACTCAAGATGAAAATTATTAGTCTATAGTGGGCCCCTGGTCTCTCTAAAAATGTCTTTATACGCTCTACTTTTATACGTTTATTATATTTGGATAGTTGGCCGAAGTCAAATCAATGGAATATTTTGTAGGCTTTTTCTTTCACTAGACTTTTCACGAAAGCATGTGAATACATATGGAGAGTGAACGAGTTCTGAAGTACCCCTTCATGATTTACGACTGATGATATCTGGTTTCTGATAATGAAATTGTTAGTTTGAAAGATACATTAGAGGTTAAAAGTATGTGCGCGATTGTGATTTTGTGAACATATATCTGCTCACTAAGAAAAATCTAAGGTTTTTTTAATTTATTATCAAACATTTTATTCACAAGTGGAAAACTGGGTTACAATGCTGAGTTTTATGTCAAGCTTGTTTAATAACTTTCAAAACAATTTGACGAACACTGATTTCCATTTGTTTGTTTTATCTATTTCGTTGTGATGTATCAAGAAGTGACCATATTGTCACATTTTATGTATACCAATAGACATTTGTTTAAAGCTTATTAATATGTAAAAAAGAAATCACGTTAAGAACTCAAATATTATAAACTAACAAGATTGCTGTTAAATTTTTAAGTTCAACCAATTAACGTGATGAAATATCTCAGTAAATGCTACTAAGCAAAACCGACATTTTCGCCCTCAAGAGAAATAACTGAAAAGTAATAATCTGTAAGTATACTATTTTTTAGAGAACCGGTAAACTTGAGGGAGTAACCAATGAAATCTCTGTAGTTTCCAGAGACTCAGAGACTAAAGTACCTCTGCTATAGGGTTAGTACGTGGGCTTTATGAAGCAACCACAGTGTATGAGTTGGATCGCTTGAGGTATCTCATTATAATAATGTCATCATCTAGTATTTCACCACACTAGATCATTGCAAACAGTCCAGGTAATAAAAAGACACTGGCTCACAATGAATTTAAGATTTAGACTTGCCACAATTTTCGAGGTGAATTCTGAATAAAATATTATATATAACTTATCACAAGGGTTTTCCGTTGAGTTGTTGCCTATATGGACTGCTTTACGATTATTTTCTTTTGAAAAGCACACATAAAACAATTCTATTTTAATTAGAATAAGTCTAAATTTGTGACTTATCTTCTTTTTTAATCTACTTTTAACGTAATAAGTCTGAGCTAGAGTTTACTGAAGACTTCTTTCCTTGATAATTTGGTGTTATAAAAAGAACTCATTTTACAGAAAATAGTTAAGTAACCTGATTTATGTTCTTTAGAGGTTTGAGTTTTGCACAAAGTACATTTTCAGTGTAGAATGTAGAAATATGATCTTATTTGAATGATAGAGTACATTGATACTTTAAAAAATTTTCTTAAATCAAGTGAATGAATAATAAGAAATAAATATTCTTTCTAATACCTTAAGTCTTACTAATCCACATGAACATCAATAAAATAGAGTGAGACTATAACTGTGATGTAAACCAGTAATTTGTTTCGAAAAAGACGATACTTTTTTCTATCAACATCAAAATACAATCATAAGATGAATGATTTATTGATATTAATCAGTTTAATAGTAGTAACAGCATAAAATGTTAAGATCTTTTGTAGCGCTGTAAAAAAGCAGATTTAATTAGTTAGTAGATCGTAACATTGGTTTCCAGTTTGGTCATGTGTCATCATGTATCCTTCTATTTGTAAAAGTGCATGAATGGATTTCTGTCTCAGCAAATAATACTAGTTATTATTATTACTACCATGATTACTACTATTATTTTTGCTGTAAAGTGTTGTGGTTAACGTTGAATTTAAAGTCTCACATAACGTGCTGACATTGGGTAATACAACGGTTGATGACCAGGAAACACTAGACGGCTGTTTCTTCTGAGTAAGAACTCAGTAGTACACATCCATAAACACACTATGGATTGAACTCAAAACCTTCAGGCCATATGACTAGTTTTTAACCTACAGATAACTAGCCTAACTTCTACTAGTTTACATTCAAATTTAACTCGTTTCTTAATATTCCTTGTCACTGGTGATATTGGTTTCAAAACTCGACATGGTTGAAGTCTACTGGTCATAGATTCTCACTAGAGCTTTAGGCATTATTTGTCGAACTTAGCTAACAGTAACTGCACAATGCGTGACATTATTCAGTATTGAGTAGACTGCTTATTTATATTTTTTGGGATCAGATTAAGGTTCTGCAACAATCAGTCTATTGATTGTCACGTGTACTAATTTTTTCAAACGATAACTTATTCTGTCCAACCATGTATTTTTTTTAAAAATTTAGGGTCTTATTTTATGTCCCGAAGAAAATAGAATCAGACTAGTAAGCGATCTTATACGAGAACAAACAGGCAAACGTTGTTTAGTTGTTATTGGAGCAACAACAGCTCTTGAAGTGGTTGGAGAACAGTTCACCGAAGCAACTGTTGGTTCTAAAAGTCTTGAATGTGGACGTGAAGTTAAACGACTTCTTCAGGTAATAACAAGTAGATATAATAGATATCCCTGAAGTCCTTTAGCATTAATTCAATTTTTAAAATACAAAAAATACTGTTCATAACATCACAGGAAGGACCGAATGTTTAAACACTATTTATCTAAATGTGCTTTGAATTCTGTTCAAGAAATTCGATAATATTCAAATCATATAATGAAGTAATATATAAGAACTTTCGTCTAAATTAGAGCGAATGGTTTCATAGTATTTGAGCGCCAAGTTGATGTAAGACATTAAATAGGAATAATATATTTGTAAAATCTCAGCGAATGAATTTGAAGTAAATCCAACGTTTCGCCTGGCAATCTGGTTCAAGCTTTTTCAAGGAATTATCAATTCCTTGGATTTACTTCAAATTCATTCGCTGAGATTTGACAAATATATTATTCCTATTTAATGTCATATGGCGAAGTCTTACAAACGAATTGTTAGTTTTTAGTGTACTGGTCATTTAATTAACATTTATTGTCAATCATCATTATTAGACTTCATTAGTCGTTTAGTTATTTGAAGTATTGAAAAATGAAATCAAAATTTCTAACGAGATCTACTCATAAACCAGGAAAATCCAGCAATTTAAATTAGTTTCCAATCTCATAGAACTGGTGACATAGCCAATCCTCTGTTGTAAGCTATCAAACCTGACCACCTGAAATTGATAGAAAAGATGAATAAAAAATTCAAATAAGCTATCATTAGGAATGTAGAGTGAATTTTTTTACAGCTTCTTTCTATTGGTCAGTAAGTGGACTGACTCCAAAGTGAATATATAATGTTGATCTTGAGTACAAGAATATAATGCTTAACACAGCTCATTTCTGTTTGAATTTGACAAACCATTTATTCTCGAGATATTGTACAGATTGTTAGATTTCCTTAGTACATCACAAAAAAACAGTTAAATAATTATATGTCAAAACGATTTCAAAAAGATTCTAATCTCAATTTCAGCAGCCCATCAAAAGCAAGTTAGAAGTGTTCCATCTTAAAAGCAGCTTTGAAATTTGTGAGGAATAACACAGCTTATAGTGTAATCTGCACAATTTTGAACAAGCACAACTTGCCGAACTTAAAGGTGATATGCTGGCCGAGTCCAGGCATATGACATCCCTGTGAGCATATGGTAGGTAACAGGTTTTAAGGGAGGTTAGCTTTTAGTACAAACCGTTTATGCAACTCATTATGCTTCGACGTATTTATCAGGGATAGATAAATAGATATTTACCAATGAGTTTGAATACATTTTGATTCGACTTGAAAATTACATATTCCCAGTTATCTTAGTGTTTTTAGTCACACACCAATTCAAAATTGAGTATAAGGAGCGTGTATATCAGCATTGGATTGGTGTTTTATAGAAAAAATCAAGATCGAAACACTGAATGGATGAATCAAATAATGGAAGTCAGTAGTGTTAAAAAGCTGTACCCATAGTTATTTAACCGCTGCTTTTGTACACAGAAGTAAATGGTACCTCCAATACTTAATCGTATTGAAACAGGACATTCTGAATCTATTTAAATTTAAAAATTTCCAGTATTCTTAAATTGAGACAAATTTTGCAAGTGTATAAAATTAATCACAACTGTATGCTATTAACTCATCTGTTTAGCGTAGCTCAACGTGTTTTATGAAGACACAAATGCAACAACAGTTATGGCTTACAATAAAATCTCTAATGAAAATTACACTCAAATAGTTAATATTCATTAAATAAATGAGACAAGATAATGTCCAAATAACTGAATCCTTCATATTTATTAAATAAAGAAATATTGTGTAAAACCTAATCTAATGGATGTGATTTTGATAAGTCATTTACGCACTTTTTTCAAATAATTTGTACTTCATTTCATACTGAGATAATTTTCTTTTTGACCTTGGGAAAAAATAGTTAAGCTTGGTGAGATAAGTTTAATGTCAGTAAATTACATTGTTCAAATGTAAATTATTGTTAGTTAATATCTAGTATTCTGTGTGTTCTGTTTGAATATCTCAATGCACAGACAGATTACATGAAATTAGTTATAACTCAAGACGATGTTGGTGTTGAATTATGCGGTTCATTGAAAAATGTTGTAGCGATAGCAGCAGGAATATGTGATGGTCTACAGTTAGGTGATAATACGAAAGCAGCTGTTATAAGAATTGGTTTCTGGGAAGTGTCTGAATTAATGAATGAACTATTTCCTGATAGAGGTTAGTTGAGTTGTGTTGCTATTTTGTTTTTTCGTTTCATCCGCTAATAGTTCTCAATTAATTTAAATAAAAAATGTATTGATTTTGTGGTGGACCAATAATTATATTAACTCAAAAATGATAATAAAGTTGTTACGTCCAAAAATCAATGTATTACTGTATTAAACACAAGAAAAATTTACGGGATTTTACTTCAATTGTCAGGACTTGGCGTGTTCGAGTTGCATTTGTTATAATAAGCCACAATCATAGGTAATTAATAGTCCCAATGGAAATTGTTATAATTCGAGCAGTATATCCAGATGTAGTATATAATGGAAATATATCTGTGGTCTATAAATGTAGATAATAAATACTTTAGAGTTCAGTTATCACACAATAGACAAATGAGAATGGGAGACGCGTGTGTGCAGCAGTGTATTTATTAGCGGTTATTAGTGTGTCGTGCTATGGGGCATTCAAACACGGAAGAGGAAGAGTCCAAAGTCATACAATTTCAAACAACTTTTACAGTCTTTTTCATAGCTCAGTGGTCTAACGGTTAAGTGCGCTTGCGCAAGACTGGTAGGTCCTGGGTTCGAATCTCGCGAGGCGGGATCGTGGATGCGCACTGCTGAGAAGTCCCATAATAGGATGAAACGGCCGCCCAGTGCTTCCAGGTTTTCCATGGTGGTCTAGCTTCATGGTTTCAACTATGAAAATACTGCGATCTCCACAAAACCCCTTCTAACTTCTACAGTCACTGGTAGTAAATGTACAAATTATAAGAATTAAGAAAAGAAATGAAAATAGTACCAAAAACTAATTACAAAACAAGTTTGTCGTGACTATCTCTACAACCTAACACCAAAATATAGTGCAGGTGATATTGAGTTATTTAAACTAGTAGCCGTACTGCAGCTCGACTAATAGAACTAAAAAATACATGACATTGACCATTACTTCATGATCAATTAACAATTTTTTAGTATTTCAAAAAGATCAGTCATTTTTAATTCTGACAATTCTAAATAAAATGTAAATTATGAAAAGAAATTTCTTTCATTAAAGATTTCATGCTAAAAAAAATCGGAACTATCATATTAATTCAGTAAATATGTAGTTCTGTTTTAAAATTCATGTTACACGTTCATAAAACACACATATAAATAAATATAAGCTTTTGAGAATTGATAAAAAAGGTCGTTTTATATCATACATAATACATATGCGGAAACTATTATTTAAAATCACTAGTTAATCTATTTCTGCTTCCTGAAAAGTTAATACAGGTCAATCACTCATTTCATAGTATCATGAATTCATTAAGTATTATGATTTAATCGTTAATCGTCGAAACCTATAGAATAATCTTCAAGAATATTTTTGAAGATTTATTTATAACAAATCTACATACGTGATATAAATTATTAACAAGTGTTAAATTATTCCATTAAAGGTTTGAATAATATTATGTCACACAACAAGGTCAGTCAGTTTCAAAGCTGAACTGTAACTAGTTAGTTAGATTGAATAAGACTTGCTTTTTTACAAAACGATAAGTGCTAAAAAAATTCGATAATTGGGTTCTGACTCTACAGTTTAAAAGTACCATTCTTTTATCCAAATCTTAAATGTTATGGTCTACAATACAGAATGACCTTAAATAGATAATCAGTGAAAGACACACAAACAGTGGAAACCTGTTTCATTCCGGCACAAAACTTCTCGTTCACAATGGTGATTAAACGCAGAACTTTAAGGTTTCGCTGAGATCAGTCAATAATTAAACCACTGAGTTGCTATTCGATGGTTCATATTTCTAACTTTAGTCGATTCGTTATTGTCATTGTGTTGGAGCCCACATGGAAATCTTATTGTGTGTCCTGTTGATAATGTTTTGAACGAACTCAAGTCAATTTAAAATGTGAGTCTACTTTGCAAAAAAGCAATGGAAAACTACATTATCTGGCACACTTGAATGCGGATATCGATATCAAGTGAATATTGCTAAGTGATGTCTTTTTAAACTTATGTATTCCTCAGACTTTCATTCAGACAAATAGCTAACGACCAACACAGTAAAATATATAATATTCTATTGCTAAATATTATTATGCCAACCTTGAATTATTTGCAAGATTATGATTGTACAACATCATTTAACGTATGTAATGGATAAAACTGCTACTGCTACTACTACTGTTGTGTGAGCTACTTATATCCACATAAGTAATATATGGTGATGGTCAGACATAGAATGTATTTTGGCAGAAGACGGATAAGGAAAGAACAAAATCGAGGCGCGATCGGTATTTAAATGCATGAACAATGAAATCTGAGAAGATGGACTGATATTTACAGAAGAAACAGTGAAGATTGAGACAATAGTTTTTATTAATTTGCAAATTAACTGTTCATTGTATGGTTATCAGAATTTAGTGAGATAGTCTACAATTTTTGCTTAAATACCTTCGATTGTCCCAACCGGTGTTTTGTTCACTACACTGCAACTGCGCATGTATGTAAAAATGTATCGCCGTTCGGTAAAAGCCAACAACTTCGTATAGTATCTGCCCCACAAAACAGATGTACCTAATATCGTGTCGACAAAAGAAGCGACGAAATCGAAATGGTAAACTGCGAAAAAATGAAGTAAATTAGAAAACTGAAGTTCATTGTTATCATGAACTGATCTAGGTTAAACCACCAACGAAAACGTGCACGCACTAGATGGCAGTTCCGTTGTAGTGTGGGACTCCTCGGTAGATCATGGTTTGTGGATGAACATTGCTGATAAGTCCCATACTAGGACGAAGCGGCCATCCATTCCCTTCTGGTTCTAAGTAGTAATCTACCTAAGATCAGTTCGTAATTTAAACTATGACACCTGTACAAACCTCGATATAATTCTAAACTGATATTTATCTATTTATAAAAATAAACAGGTACAAATTATCTAACAATAGAGCAAAGTTGCGGAATAGCTGAATTATTCATGTGTAAGTTATATTATTATTATTTTATTTTACTAAATTAGCTATGAATGTTGTTTTTAAATAAATTAAACAATCCTTATTCAACATCAGCATTTTATCTAGTCACTTAATAATCACATGAACTTGATCGACAGAACTCGATCGGTATGTTATTTAATAATTTTTTTAAAATGACATTTAAAAAACCAGTATTCTAAAATTAGTGATGGATTATTGAATAAACACTTGTATTTGAATTTAAATATTTCAAGTTTGAACAACTCTCATCTGTTTTCATATAATAAGCCTTACAGAATCATCAGACCTCATATAAACGGTATAGTACGGAATTAGTAATTATTTTAAAATCAATTACAAATTTCATACATCTTTTCAGGAAAAGAATATGACACGCAGTATCCGAAAGCTGATACTAATACGAACTTCTTGTATGTACAAAACTGGCTACTGTGGAGAAAATATGGTAATTAGGTGAAGTTTATTTGGGCTAAACACTTTCAAGTAGCAACCGCAAATATGTATATATACGTGTCCCTTAGAAAACTAAGTTTTTCAGTGTTGTCTCATCCTTTCTAAAATAAAGCCATTTTTGGCTAATCACGTTCGTTATCGTTTTGGTGATTTCCTATTGAGTCACCTTACAAGGAATTAATTAACTTGTTTGATTAAGTCATTTCATACAATAATTTCTAAAACGTAACATATTTATCATGATTTCACTTACATGTTAGTTATTGGTTATCAGTTATATTCGTCTTAGTTACGTTAATTGTTAAGAGTATGGATGAAATAAACTTCAGTATCCTGTATTGATATCAGATTGATACTCGACAGGATTTTACGCTATCTATTCAGTTTTATTTATTAAGGTTAATTACACCTGTCATATACTAACTATTACATGTATAGTTTTCTCATTATTTTTTGAAAAATTAACTTTTTCATAGTCATCACAAAAATTTGTGCAGATACTTGCGTGAATAGATTAGGTTAGAACATTTTTTTAAACGAACTTTAGTTATTTCATATTATTTCGTGTGATCAGTGAGGACATGAATTCCACTTAAAAGTAAATATCAACAATTTAGAACAAAACTTGAGCAAACAAACGAGTTCGAAACAAAATTTACAGGATGGATTGATTTGGAACGTGTGATACAAAAATGTGATGATCTGAAAAATGTATGTTTGCGTTAAACATTCCGTACAATTTGGTCACACATATATCTGTCCAGGCATTTTATGTGAAAATTAATTAAGTTCAATTAAACGGAAGTTCAAGTATACAAAATGATAGTTGTAAATAAATCAGAGAAAACTAACATCGTTTGGAAATTTCCACATCAGCCTAGATCACAAAATGATTTAGGGATTACCAGGGTAAACTCAAGGTTTTGACAAATTGTTTCTTTACATGTAAGGGGGGTTGGACTTTATGAACAGTCAAGGATTCTATAGACTTAAGAATTCGTCCTTGACAGTTTCTTTACGTTTTTAAAGCTATACTGATATTAATCCTATGCCCCATTTCAATTATGTGATTTACTATTGAACATGCTTTTCTATTTTCCACGCTTATCGGAACACTAACTGATTTTGAAGTCATCTAGGCACATGCTCCATAAACCTTAATTGCATTGTTTAATTACACCTCCCTATATATGTGGATTCACACAAATCTGTGAAATAACTTTGAAAAGTTTCACTCTTAGCGTAATTAATTGTTACCCAAAAAGGTGATAAAAACTTCGTAATTAAATTTTCCAGCCTATACAGTGCATTTATAACTTGTGGCCTTTGCCCTATTATTATCTAACGTAATGATACCGCTAATTGGAGAACAGTAACTTATCGACCGGAGTAGTGACGCATAAACCCGTACGAGCAGTGTAGAGTCCTTCTTCTTGCCTAGCCCCACCTGTTGAGTCCAGAACACAGATCTCAGCCTCTGCATTATGAGTCATATATTTCAAACATACTGAGTCGATATACAAGCCAAACAGACCACATCGCACCTAAAATATAAAATAACATTTGTACAAGATCTAGCCAAAATTAGCTGTGATTGTGGTGGACTGTGATTAATAAACTGGGCATAACTTAAGAATGGCAATTCGTCTAATAGTCTATAGGTCAAAATAAAGCTTATAATAAGAATATGAATATATATAGTTTAGTTACTTAACAGTTATACATTAAATATATATATGTATAGTATTAGTCCATAAATCGACCCCAACAGTTATCATTCATTATTTTAATCCGGAAGGGAACTATGTGTATGGGATCAAAAGATAGATGATAATCAGAAATTTGTATGAAAATACTACTGTTTAGTGAAATAATCATTTCAACAAAAACACAAATTAGTTCATCAACGAATAGGCAGCTATTCAAATTTCATGTTTCCCACTTCTCCTCTCTAACAACGTAGCAGGAATCTAAGCCTATTTCTAATATGACTATTCTTTCTATTTTTTTCAAGGTATGTCTCATAAACTTGACGACATTTCCGATATAGGAGATCTAGATCTGTTGAATATTAGTGTTGGAAGACGATTATCTAACAATGATACCAATAGACCATCAATTCGTTCAATTACTGATAAAATACCGTACAGAACTTTTGTAGACGGAGCTGAATACGCAAAACAGGTAAGTTATTGGTTGGATTTAGCATTACTTCTCAGCTAGCTCAAAATATTCTGGGAAAAAAAACTACTGTAAGGACACTAGCTAACTAGAGTATCACAATAATGTATACTTTGACTTGTTGAAAACAGTAAAAGATTTGGCCATACAAACTTGACAGTTTTCTTTTCAAATACGCTCGTTTTCCTAAGCGATTTCATTTATTATACTAGAGCAGTTTAACGATCTTTGTTTACTAGGATGTCATCTCAGCGAACAATATCACTTAGTTAATCGTGGTCCATTTATTAGATACTTCAGATTATTCCACCTGTATAAAAAGGTTCTTTATCGGTATTGTTAACCTGATTAGGATTAAAGTATGCACTAAAGTTAATAAGTTGAGCCGGTCTATGCATATTACGTGCCTATGCTCACATGTCATCTGAAAACCGAACCGTAAGTGGAAAATAGACAAGGTATTGGAGGAAGCTGATTATACCCCCAGTCAGGATTTCAACCTACATGTCCACGTCTGAATCAGAAGGTTATATGTATACGCCTCAATGATTTATTTTCTCAATTCAAGCTTCCTAGCCAGGCTTTCCATTAACACAACTGGATGAGCAAGTCTACCAGAAGCGTATGTTTTTATTTAATTTTATTTATACACATAAATATTGGTACAAGGAAGCACCAGATACATATGTGCCGCACAAATCAAATGAGATTTGTGTGAGGGCTATGATACTGCTCAGGTGCCCAAACTGAAGAAGGTTGTTTCTTAGGGGGCCACACCCCGAGCCTTCGACCAAAAGGTCTGATCAACAACGCAGTGGAGCATCGTGAGGCGATGCATTCCCATGGTAGCCGGTGACCAACAATTGGTTCATACGCCATTCGTTCCATCAGGATACTGGAGCCCATGTGCACCATTGGTTTCGAATCAGGGTTTTCCAACTCCCCTAGGTGGACTATCCGTGTCCACCAACCCGGTTAAAGCGCCGGACATTCGCTTTTCGTCCTCTCACTTTTGTGAACAACACCAGTGCCACGAGAAGGCAGTGAGTAGGACTTCCCTGGCAGAGGTTATATTACGCATGGCCATGTGAGAGTATTTCGAGAAGGAGAGCGGACTATCCCCAATCTCGGCCATACCAGGGCATTTGGGGGCAGAAGCGTATGTATTTAAATCAAATGTGGTGGGACTTAACAGAAGTTTATTTTTTATCACAGACTGAAGTAAGCTGGAAAACAATACTTCAGCAGAGACTTAAAGTTTGTATCTTTTCATATAGATTAGTGTCAATTAGCATTTGACTGATTGAAAAATTAAAAAGTATTGTATATGAATAATGGAGTATTATTTATCTGGAACACTAACCAGAATCGAAGATTTTCGACGATTAAACATTTTGGTTACTCATATTTTTTCTCAAATATCTCTCTCACTAGAATGATAATTAGCCAGTAAAATAATTTATTTTTGATAAGGCCAAAATCATGAGCTTTATTCCTGTTAAAAAGCATGATGCCTTTAAAGCGACCTGAAATTCCAAGATGAATATGTAATAACAATCAGAATGCCACCTAATAGTTTATACCTTTTCTATACAGCATCTATGGTTATGTTGGCACAATCACACCAAATTATAAAACACATCAGTTTATTGGTATTTACAGTACCGTGTAACCACGAATATGGAATAGATTATATACAAAATATCTCAACAATACCGTCACTGTATTATACAGCTAAAAAATGTTCAGAGAACTCGTAAAATCGAATCTATAATATAACGAACTGATATCAGCGAGACATCAATCAAATTATTTGTCAAATACAAAACTTGTTTCAGATAAACAAGGAACATTATCAATCAGGTAATCAACCAACTCACCCAAACACACTGAAACAAGTATGACTTCAGTTAGGAATTTACGGTATCATACAAAAATACGAATCCCATAGAACCAAAGTTGTAGATAAAAAAAATACTAATAACGTCGTCTTAACTTAATATTAAAGCCATCCAAATGGTTGGACGGAATAAGAACAATAAGGTTTTACACAACGTGAAATAAAAGATCGGTAATATAGAAAGTATACCGGCTGGATTCTATCCCAAACACAAAGTATATCGCACTTTGTTACCGACTCAGTATCCCATGGTGCATTTTTCAAACCTCAGTCAATTCCCAACTGATGATTAGACCATTCAGTGGAATGGATATTAGCTGACACAGCATAGTACCAAGACGCAACTAATTTCGGTCTGTTTAATGAATATTATTTACCATGTAGATATTTCTTCCTTATTTGTTTAAACCAAATTTTACTGACCTCGTTTTATAATTAGCAATATGGATGAAATACACTTTTCATGTTGTTATCATTATCGTTTTTATTTTGTTACAAGATATACAATATCTTAGCTGACAGACGTCGTACTGGACATTTCCCATTATTCGTCGCTGTTCATCGTATTTGTCAGAATGAAATAAAACCACAAGAACTAATTGCATGTTTACAGTCACATCCTATTCATGCTTAACTATTACTTACAAGTCGAAATAATTACAATCTATGCCATATTCCGATTTTTGCTTTCATAAGTTTCTTATAGTTTTTAACTTTAAGTATCAACATTTGAAAACATGATCTTATTCCTTATTTTGACTATTTTACAAATTCTTGCTTCTTCTATAAACTTCAGCTATTTCATACAAGTATATATGAAAGGCGATTATAAAGTTTTTTCAATCCTTTGAAATATACTTTTGTTTTACTTAGCCAACTAATTAAGCTGGTTCGTAACGGATGGATTATCATTCTAGTTCTTGCTGTTCATATAAAGTAGGACTACGATGTTGCTGCATTTTTCAAATAAATAAATTGACTGCTGAGGCAACAATCATTGGATCACAATTGAGATGTTCGATATGCGTCTGTTAGATAATTAGACATTCATGTGTTATGCTGTTTCTCTTTGATAAGACAGTCAGGTTTTCTGTGTTAAGTATGGTCTAATTATATTCAGGTTGCTCAATCTTTCATGGATCGTCTATTTACCTAATAATCAAATTCGAATTCCATTTGCTTGGTAGTGACATGAAACCTGGATAAATATTAGGCGCATTGTAATTGTATACAGTACAACAAATTTTCGAAAATAACCTCTGGATTAACTTGAAGCATTATGCCAGTTCCCTTTCTTATCTACGCCGTAAATAAAACTCTATCAGTCCAAACAAAATACTAGAATTTACAAAAAGCGTCTCATATTCTTAATGATACTAAATCTACACGTTTTTTACAGATAATCACTTTCCTATAATGATCAATCATAGGCAAATACGATACAATGAGAATGTTGGAATGCATATAACATATATCCGTCATGTAGCATCAATCAGCAAAAGCATGATGTGTTGGATTTTTTTATTTTATTTAAACACATAAATATCAGTACAAGGAAGCACCAGATAAATATGCGCCTCACAAATCTCATTTGATTTGTGTGAGGGCTGTGATACTGCCCAGGTGCCCAGACTGAAGCAGGTTGTGTTGAATTATTAAGTATATCCAGTCAACAATTACTAACGGTTAGTTCTCAGTAATTTATGATAACAAATAAAACTGAATTTTTGAGGAAAGTCTCAACATGAAAATATGAATATTTACTATGAAGAATAACCATTGATTGCTATTTGACCTCAAAAGAGGATTTTTAATTTGGAAACGCATGCTAGACTACATAATATGAATTTAAAATCAATAGGGATAATAGCATTATCATTTGGACTCCTTCATTATATTTTGTGTAAAACTGTTTACTTTGTTACAATGCCTACTTTAGCCACATGTTTACTGAGTAACAAAACCATTTTATGTAACCCACTCCATACTCAGTACTCAATACATAATCCATTTAGTTCAGTTTAAATTCTCATATCATATTATCTCTTCATTTCAAAATCATCAAACCAGTAAATTTTCAACTGTCTTTTACAAAGAAAGAACGAAGAATAAGACATTTAGAGATTTATGCAAAAACATTTAGAAACAATAAAATAAGCTCAGTAAAATTCACGTATAAATGTTGCTATAAAAGATTGAAGTGAATATAATACAAAGTATACACAACACAAATAACATGAGATAAGTACCAAAAAGAAAATATAACTATAAAACAGAAAGTTGACAAACTGTTAAGGTAGTCAGTTCTGACAATTACTATTCATTGTTAAGAAAAAATACTTCAGGCATAAATTTAATTTAAGTACTATATTTTAAAAAATTCCAGTAAAGAACGTTGTTGTCTATCGTTGTTAACAGATGAAATCTTTTTTAATTGACTCTTTCTATGATTGGAATGTTTAATAGTTTGTTGTGATCTTCTTTCATACCTAGTCACTTCTTGTGATTCTCGTTTACTACTTCTACTAATGAGTAAGTCAGGGCGTACACTACCAACGCCTAAGAATTAAAAAAGTATGTATATCCATGATGAATTTCATTCAATGAATTGTTTGTTAAACAAACATGGGATTTAAAATATTGGAAAAAAAGAAAATGACAGAAATATTTCACTAAATGAAAAACAAGTCAAGTTACATTCAAACGGTATATTACGAATATGATACATTCATTTTGGAGCATATTTATAATTTAACTAGTCTCAACTAGAAAAAAAATAGAAAGACTCTCTACTGAAGTACAATCTAAAAACATCAATTTATTGAATTATTTATTTAAATAAAGCGATAGTAAGAACAGGAAATTCATTATATTTTACGGCTTTTTATTAGCTCCTAATACAACCTTAATTTACGTTATTAATATTACTATTAAAAATGTCTATATACTGTACGTAATCAATGAAGTTTAGTTTGAAATGACATGAGAAACAAGAGACATATTTAACATAATAGATTAGATCGATTAAGACTTCGTATGTTGAGGACGAAGTCTTGTAAAAAGGGAGGGGAGTTGTAGACGATGACAATCAATAAGACATTTTTGACAAATAAGTGGTAATTAAGGCACTTAGTTGACATACAATATAAATTAACATCGTAAGTGAATGCCGGTGGAAATAGTTTTATTTTAAGTCATAAAGTATAATAAACAGATAATGTAATTGACGAATGTAAAAATAATATAACTATCTTAACATGGTTATGAGAGATATACCACAAGAGCTTTCTGTATACAAAGGTCAGGTTTAAAGTGCTTGATGGCAGTAGCCTCTGGAAAGCGTAGTAAAAATAGTGTTCACTGGTTGTTAATTATTTAAAGTCTTTATGATCGCCACACTTTCTCATCTATCCATTAAATGTCTAATAATAACACTGGTGGATACTCTACCTTCTTTCAAACAACTTGAGAGGAATATTTTCGGAAAACCTTTCCTTCCTTTCCAAAAACATGCAAATTTTAAAGATGACCTTAAAAGGGCATTGACCGATTTTTGACTGATTTGAGGAAAAGCTGTCCTATATTGAAAATACTAGGACCGAAGGAAAGTTTTTTTTAGCTCTGATTTAATACTATCAAATCTACCTGAAATCCATTCTCACTTGAATCAAAGATGAAGATAGATTTCTTGTTAACAATTGTTTGTTTGGAACTTCCTATACTTCATAAGAGATTTCTTCAGACATCCAATTTTCTATACTATTTCTTCCTGTACTTTATCGGTTGAACACAACCGTCTATTAAATGGGCTTTAAACTAAAGTGTTTGTAACGAACAGGCCGAAAAGTATTATAATTTAAGTATTCCCCCGTCCATGTTTAATGAATTTATGCTATTCTGTATATCTTGTTTTTTCTCGCATTATCCAAATTTATCAAGGTATATATATCATTCAACTTTAACAGGTTTAAAGTTTAACTCCGCCTGTAGCTCCTACAGAGGCTACTGACGATCCCAAGCCCGGGTAAAGGAGGAGGGTTGGGCATGGGGTTAGCCACCCCATCCCGTAGAAAAATCAACTCGCCAAAAAAACGCTAACCAGAAAAAGTCCTTCAAACCATTCAAAATCTGCCCTGAGAGTAGAAGGAATAATTATGACGTCTCATGATGAAAGCCGAGTTCCTTCGGAAGTCATGAGGCCGATGCACCTCCTTACAACCAGAGCGACAATTTTTATAGGTACATGGAATGTCCGGACAATGTGGGAGACCGGAAGAGTCTTCCAAATTGCTGCAGAAATGAGAAAATACAACCTGGAGGTGTTTGGAATCAGTGAAACACATTGGACGCAGATTGGACAACAACGACTATCTTCAGGAGAACTTCTGTTATACTCCGGTCATGAAGAAGAAAATGCCTCACATAGACAAGGAGTTACATTGAGGCTGTCCAGAAAAGCACAAAATGCACTTATTGGATGGGAATCTCATGGACTAAGGATCATCAAAGCCTCCTTCAAAACAAAGGGAGAGGGCATTACAATGAAAGTCATCCAATGCTGTGCGCCGACCAACGACTACGATGAAGACGCTAAAGACCAATTCTACGATAGGCTGCAGTCGATCTTCGAGAAGTGCCCAACCAAGGACCTGACAATTCTGATGGGAGATCTCGATGCTAAGGTTGGAATGGACAACACTGGATACGAAGACGTTATGGGACAACATGGACTGTGAGAAAGGAACGAAAATGGTGAGAGATTTGCAAACCTATGTGCCTTCAATAAACTGGTCATAGGTGGCACCATATTCCCACACAAAAACATACACAAAGCCACTTGGATTTCACCGGATCACACTACACATAATCAAATCGACCATATCTGCATCAACAAAAAGTTCAGAAGGACGATGGAGGATGTGAGAACCAGAAGAGGAGCTGATATAGCATCCGATCATCATTTACTGGTCTCCAAGATGAAACTAAAACTTAATAAGCACTGGACAACGGCGCAGACATCACAAAAGTTTAATACGGCCTTTCTTCGAGATGCTGACAAACTCAACAAATTCAACATAGCCCTCTGAAACAGATTCCAGGCCTTTCATGATCTACTCAATGGAGAGGGAACTACCATGGAGAGCAACTGGAAAGGTATCAAGGAGGCAATCGTTTCAACATGTCAAGAGGTCCTGGGCCAAAAGAAGCACCATCACAAGGAATGGATCACTGTTGATACACTGGATTAGATTGAAGAAAGGAAGAACAAGAAGGTAGCAATCAATATCAGCCAAACAAGAGCAGAAAAAGCCAAGGCATAAGCCGAATACACAGAGGCAAACAAGCAAGTGAAGAGGAGCATCAGAACCGACAAACGTAAATATGTGGAAGATTTAGCAATGACAGCAGAAAAGGCTGCAAGAGAGAGAAACATGAGACAATTGTATGATACAACAAAGAAACTTGCTGGAAAATACCGTAAACCAGAAAGGCCAGTGAAAAGCAAGGAAGGCAAAGTAATCACCGACTTTGAAGAACAACGAAACAGGTAGGTAGAACACTTGAATCGACCAGCTCCACTGAACCCACCCAACATCGAAGCGGCACCCACAGACCTCCCAGTCGATGTTGGCCCATCAACAATTGATGAGATCAACATGGTCATCAGATAAATCAAGAGCGGCAAAGCAGCGGACCCAGACAACATCACGGCAGAGGCACTGAAAGCAAATGTAGCAGCAACTGCCAAGATACTCCACATCTTCTTCAGTAAGATTTGGGATGAAGAACAAGTACCAATAGACTGGAAAAAAGGACTTCTGATCAAGATACCAAAGAAAGGCGATCTCAGCACGTGCGACAACTACAGAGGCATCACTCTTCTCTCAATACCAGGAAAAGTCTTCAACAGAGTATTGTTAAACAGGATGAAGGATTCCGTGGACACCCAGCTTCGAGATCAACAAGCTGGATTTCGTAAGGATAGATCGTGTACAGACCAAATCGCAACTCTACCTATCATTGTGGGACAATCAATTGAATGGAATTCACCAATCTACATCAACTTCATTG